CTCGCTCTAAGAAGTAAGCAATGCTTTTTGCCCGCAAAAACCGCAAAAAATTACGTGTCACCCTAGCATTGCGACGATGAAAGTCCAAATATTAGTTACTTTCAACAAACCTCTTTGAGCGATTCAGCGATCTTGTCTCCAAATTCAAACTGCTCGAACTTTCGATCGGGATTATCCCTGTCCTCGTGCGGACGACAATATAGTCCCGGTAGGCCACGGTTGAACAGCTGATGTCGCGAAAAACTCCTGAAGCAGATGCTCAAAGGTTGTAGTTCTAATGCCTGCAACCACAAACAGATTGGGGCATAAATTGACGAGATTGGGCATTGAAAAAGGCCACGACAATCCACGAAAGCTCTTAATGTATCGCCTAACTCGTCGTAGGTCTCACATATAACCTTATCGTGTCATGGTTTTGCTTTGCTTGTTGAATTACTTCACTTGAGGTAAACGGGAACCTCATGCAAACAGCTTATTTCGAGCGTATCGCTCAAAGCTGATTTTCAAAAAAAGTGGCAAAATTCTGAAGGAAGCAATGTGTGCAGAGTTAGACTGCAGTTGATATCCTGTTACGAACTTCCTGTTTCGGCAGTTACACAACTATTTTGTCGCCATATTTATGCCCCTCCCTATAAATAAAGCCTTAATTGACCAACTCTGCAAACACGGAGAGTCCATATTTTCTCAGAGTGAGATCGAGCCCAGCACCAGCGACAAGCAGAGCATCGTGAGCAAAGGCGCTGCTTGCCTGAGAAGTGAAAAATGGATCATAAAGATTAAACTGGTCCTTTGGTAAAATCTGCCACATAATAAGTGCTTTCTAAAAAATCTCAACAATATTGACGCCGCACCGGTAGATAATCGAAGGTGGGAAATCGTTCTCGATATGTTTCTTCGAAGTCCTTCCTATTCTGCCTGAAAATCTCTGGGCGATCTTCTGTAGAGAAATAGACCGCAAAAGCCACAGGGAAAGTTTCAAGCACAGCAAAGTACTCACAGATACTTCTTGTCCATACGATCAAACATTTGAAAACCGGTTATGTTGATTAATGAGAAATGGAAAGCGGCCAAGTCGGTATCTTCCATCTCCTGAAGTTCGCTCACCATCATCATAGTGAATCCCTCACTCACGTCATTCAAGAAAACTCAACCCTTTTCTAATTTATAAAGTGCATTGAAAACATCGACCTGCCCATAGTTGGCGATCTTGCAGTCCACACGTAGAACATAGGTATCGGATTACAACCACATACTAACAGAGACAGTCGTTCAAGACTTGGAGCCGCTTTAAAAACGCGTCTGTTCCAGGGTATAGGGAGCACGGCGTGGGAATATAAAACTGAGGTCATTCTTTGAGCACTCGGGATTGCAAGGAGAAAGGGCAAAAATTTCCATAAAAAATGAAACTTTTCACATAATTGTCACGCTGCGTAGCGTTAAATAGCTGCATGTTGGAAGCTTTTTGTCCTGAAGTTAAATTTTAGGCAATAAGCACATATGCGCCCAAAAGGGTGGAAAATCAGAGGAATCCAAAAAATCCGGTCCTTCCACCTGGTGAGATCGAACCAGTTTAAGCCCAGGATCCACGGTTAAAGGAATCTTCCACGGAAAAAGCTCCGCCCCCCATTACCACAGAAAACGATACCTTAAAGGAATCTTCCACGGAAAGAGTGATCATTTTGTCTTGTGTGTAGGATTAGTATTATCGAAACTAACGCTTATGTTCCGTTCTTTTTGCTATGCTCATGAGGCTAGGGGCCTAAGGTATCGTTTTTCTGTGGTAATGGAGGCGGAGCTTTTTCCGCGGAAGATTCCTTTGATTTTGTAACTGTATTTCCAAAGCGCCTCCAAAAATCTTTACCAATTGTTGTATTGCTCCTGTATTGTGTCTACAACAGGCAAAAAACCTTTTTGAATATCGCTTCAGGTCTCCAAGGACCTTCCTGGTTAGCTCACCGTCGATTATGATCTCTACGCGAGCCTTGTCTTCCTTTACAAGAATACTCTTCCAATGGCAGCTTGGAGTAATGGTTAGTTTGACAAGTACACACACCGTTATATGGCCTTCTCTTCAGTCGGAGAACACATTTTTTGTCTTTTAAACTTTGGGATATTCCGAGTTGTTGCTAGTTCGAACACTGCTCGGATGAATGATGATGCATCGTATACGGTACCTTGCACAGCAAATGTCTAGTGTGACGACACTACTGCGACAGGTACCGGACCAATGCCTTGCACTTCTACGTGTTCGCCTCGTGCTTAAATACGCCTTCCAGCTTGAAGGCTGAAACGCAAGAGCAGGGGACCAACCATCCAAGCGAGTCACGATAAGAACGAAGGTCAAAGAAGGGGAAATTGCATAGTGGACAGGCGACCTCCTGAGGGTGCTGACCGACGCGCAATTGGCAGCGAAAGATTTGACCTCGGCGATCTAGCATGGCTCACTCTTGGCGCGGTTGGCGGGTACGCCCACCGACTATCTAATCACTCGCCGCAGGTCTATACGTGGCGAGTGATTAGATAGCAGAGAGAGCGTAGTGTTGAAGAGGGCACAGCGATGAGAGTCGCATCAATGCGCAAATCAACGGGCAAGGAAGGGGTCCCATTTCTCGGGTTTCGGGCCGTTTCAAATGGTTTCTTCTTCATCCCTGCTCCACTGACTCGTAAATTCTGCTTCTAACGGTCGAATGAACTAACTCTCGCTGGTTCCGAAACATTGAAAAGAAAAACTGCAGCTTGTTCACGGGTGATGTTCCACGACGCTAACTATGAATGCTTTTGCCATTAAGCTTACAGATCAATTAGCTACAGTTGCTTTGTTTTTTCGCGGCTCAAATGCCATTATCTTCGTTCTTCTCTACTAATACTCACGTGGAAAGACGATCAAATGACAAGGAATGGCAAGAAGATTTACCAGATTGGCGAAAGACGTAGTGGTAATCCTTCTTTACAAGCACACTTTCTTCCAGTGCTCTCAAAAACATTCTCATCCGATATCCACCTTCCAAATCAACGATCACATGCACTGGGCTGAAAATAGTTTCTAGTCTTCAGGAAGAAAACGCAACAGAAGGAACTTGTACGCACTGTGTAATGTCTGCTTCCTCTCCGTGGGACATATTTCCTTGTGAAAGTTGTTGGCAAATATGCAGAAACAGGTTGGTGCACGCCTTTAAAGGGAGCGGGAGGGGACAAAAATCGGAACACTTTGCCCAGGTTGCCCACATCAGCGTCGTTCTTCGCTTAAATTGCCGCTTTGGGAAGTATTTTTACTGAATACTCTCGCGATGAATGTCCTTTTTCGGCAGAGCGAGCCTCCTTAACTGCTCTCACCTTCTGCAGAAAATGACGCTATCTGCCACTGCCGTGGACTCACAAAGACCTAAGCTAATTGCTTCTGCCGGAGAGCTGATACACTTCCTGAAACGATTCACTGGTGGATAGTTTCCCAGATAAATTTGCTGTAACTGACAGGGATGTCTTTCGGGGCAAGCCGGGCTTTTTCGAAAACGGGTTTTTTGCATGCTGTAGGGGCTCTAGCGTGAACTACAAATCTGTGTTTCATTTTCGCTGAACGGTTCCCTGATGGCCAAAAAAGGGTCGAAAAAAATCTGTTGAGAATGGGCGGTTTTTATCGGCCTTTAGACTGACGTTTCAGACTTGTGTAGAGAAGATCACCCGCATACTCAAGGGAGCTGATGCAAGGAGGTACTGAAAACAAGGTGAAATTCGCCAAAAATTGAAATACTGTTAGTGGTAGTGCTCTAGAAAAGGAAGTGGTTTCATAAGCATCATTGGCACCCCGACACCCACATCACTGGACAGTTTCTGGTGGTCGAGTAGATAGCGTGTCTGTGAATCGGAGGGGAGTCCTTTTTGTGGTTTGATTCCGCTCCCAGGAGGTTGTTTTATTGAATTCTCGATTGCACCTGCAAATGAGCGCTAAATTGCATAAGCGCCAGTTTTAACGCTATGTTCACAATCAGTACCATCAGTAGCCCCTGCCATTGGGTTTACTATCAAAAACTGGCAGAACAAATCTGTAGCGCTTAACTGCCACCAAATGGCGCTGATGCCAAAAAATAACCGTCATATTTATGATCAGCACCCCGATTCCCCTATAGGCGAAATTTCGACGAAAATCGAGATTTTGACCTAACTTCGAAAAAGGAGGTAACTATGGGCCACTGGCTATGCACGCCAGCGGGCGACTTGAAAAAAGAGACGCTACGTGAAAACCAGTGGAACACCCTGATGATTCACGGAATCTAGAGCTCGATCTCATAGACAACATCTCCCACCGCGTCCCTGTCCTTGAAATCTATGGAGATGAGCCCCTACAGATGAAGGAGTGGAGGACCCAACATATCACGTCTCGAAGGAAAGAAGAATCTGTAAACTTCAACTCATATGGATCCTGTGGTCTAGCACAGCTTGAGAGTTGTCTCATTGTCTATTCTGTAGTGTTAATTTCGTTTTATTGGAGGAGGATTACGAGGAAACTCATTTCCAGATCGCTGGCTGGAGTACCCCATGGGCCACTGACCGACCTGTCGATAGCCAATTTTTCGGAACTGGCTCAAAATCTCAATCTTTTCTAAAACTTTTACTTTAAGGAATATCTAATGCTCTGATCACGAATATTTGCATTCAGGGGTGTGGGTACTTAGGACAGAACGCGACTTTTTCGCTCTTCGCAACGCGACATCGCGCGGCAGGCTGGCGCACCCGCAGCGAAAACAACTACGGTATGGAAGAACGCGCGATTGGAGCGCGATATTTGTGTCGGCTTTGATTGCGACAAGGAGTTTGAAGCTTAATAGCCATGGATTTGATAATGAACGAGGAAATGGTAACCAGAAGTGGACCGCTAACTAGCAGTGAAGAGGGAGGTAGGTTATTTTTGCAGAGGATGGATGGTAGACCCTGGAAGAGGAGTGGTTGATGGACGTTCGATGAGACTCACGACAAAGGATCAGTTCGTCAGAGTTTGCTATGATATATAGAGTATTACCTAGGCCGATGAGTGTGTAATTACCTCGTTCACCAATAATTTGAAGTGTTCTAGAATTCTAGAATACCACTTTAACGGCATCGCTCGGAATCGTGTAATTCACAAAACATTTCCATTGATGAGAGAGAATTGGTGATTCACCGCATGTCTCAATACAATGAGTGCGTGGGGAAGCAATAAATCAGAAACTTACAAATTCACGCATGCGCAAAAAAGCTGCTCCAATCGCGCGTTCTTCCATACCGTAGTTTTTCGCTGCGGGAGCGCCAGCCTGCTGCGCGATGTCGCGTTGCGAAGAGCGAAAAGTCGCGTTCTGTCCTAAGTACCCACACCCTGACATTCATTTATCCAGATGGCTCCAATTTACCCTACTTCAGCACCATTTTACGCCCCTCTGGCGTTTAAACTTTTTAGCATATTTCCAAATTGAGATCTGAGTGTAATGGTTCCTGGTGGTCCTGATGATGGATATGATTCATAATTTTAACATTGGCTATTTGGAAGAAATTTGGAAGCTCCAACCATGGTGCAAAAATTTTGCCACCACAGGGGATTGATCCCTAGACCATTTCCTCACCACTTTCTGACCTTCACGGGGCCGTTCAGCGAAAATGGACCTTGGTTCTATAGTCTACGCATAAGTTTCTATAACATGCAAAAAACCGTTTTGAAAAAGCGCGGCTTGCCCTGAACGAGCCTCCCTTGTCAGTGATCTGT